TGTGCCTGAAGGCAAGGGCTTTTCCCTGTGCATGGCTACAGAGCATGTTGAAATTACTCTGCTGTGCTTCCACTGAGGCTTTCCAAACACTTCTTTAGGCACTGGGCTTCATGAGCATGATGGAGAAGAAGAATGCCATTAGCCCTATTTTACAGAGTAGTTGAATGATTTGCTCGGGGTAAAATGAAGGGCTTAACCTGGATGTCTGGACTGTCTCTCCGTCAGTCATTCCAGAGGCTTGTTAACTGCTGGCATTTTCCTCTCAGCTGCTCTCAGATTACATGTCAATCAGGATGTTCTGTTACCAATGGGTCTCCCTCTGTCCAGGTATGCAGACACTGATGAAGACAGTAGAGGTTAGATTATACAATCCTTCTCAAGCGACCTCTGGTATTGAATTGATAGCCAGAGCAAAGCAGGGAAAGGGTCAGCATTCAAAGGTAGAAATGATTCTGCCTTCCCCTGTGCTGGTTTTGGCTTTAGGTTTTTGAAACCACAACATCCCCCTAGACTGACTGATAGAAGTAAATTGTCATGACTCTGTGAATTACCTTCAGCCAAGTGGATGGAGGTTATGAGTTTGTACGTTTGCCACATGGGCACTCAGAAACACCCTGCAGCTTTCCATGTCTCCCTCCTACACCTTACTGTGTTTTGAAACAGGCAAATGCCAGAAAGCCAAAACAAGTACTAGCTTTCAGGACAGTGAAAAAACCCATGATGTTCTGGGGATGATTCCAGGCTGGGACAAGGTGGCTCACTGCTCTCCAGCTGTGAGACGTGGCAATACTGTGCCAAAAGCTGGGGGCAATGGCTGAGTTTGGCAGCACACTTTACCATTAACCAGCAGAATAAACTGATGACTAGTGTTAATTCTTAGTTCCAGTAAAGTCTTCAGAAATAACCCTGTTTCTCCCATGTTCTCTGGCTCCAGCCTGCCTTCCCTTTCAGAACAACTCTGCCCAAACTGTTCCAGATAACCTTTCTGTCCTTCACAAAAATCTCTTTAGGGTGGCTAAATGCAAGCAAAGGACTTGCCTCTGTTTGCCTAGCTTCAAAATTAAGTTGCCATGTTTGCCCAGGGGGTGAATGGCTTTGCTAGTTATAATCCGTAAAGTGAATCCTGTCTGGAAGCTACAAAGAACTGAGCCTTCCCACCCTGTGTGTGCAGGATAGATTGAGGTACATGTAAACAATTGGGTGCCAAGGAGAGAGAGCAAAACACCAAACTACGCAGGCGAATGCAATTTACAATGAGCAGAAACAACTGATCTGTCCAGCCCAGATAAAGAAGAATTACAAACTGAATAATGCTTAACTGAGTCTCATGGATCTGGGGAGAAATAGCAATACCATATTCTCGAGGCACACAACTGCTAATCAGACTGCTGCACTCTTCATCTCATCCAAAATAGATGTGCTTGACACCCATAAAAAGCACTGTTGTGCAACAGAATTTGAACAAGCAAGCATGATGTTGTGATTGTTTTACTACATTATTTGGTAAGGTGGCAGGGGCAAAGGTGCCTGTCCTTGCCCTTTACTGTCCCACGCACTATCCAAAGACAAGGACTGGTATCCCTTTCTACCATGCAGTGCTTCTATCTGCAGCCTCTGCACCTGGCACTGTCTTTCTCTTACCGTACTCCACCCCCACGGGCTTGTCTCCAATTTTCCAACGCATGCAGTGCCCAATTGGCACCCACGTGGTGAAGTCTGGAGGGAACTGTGGGTGGTGTGAGCCACAGCCAAGCATGGCGTGGTGGCTGGTGTGTGCGTGGTGTGCTGCACAGCCTCTCCTGGCAGTCTTCTGTCAGTGATGAACATGGTGTAGCTGGGCTTGTCGTGGCTTGTTACTACCTCACCTAGAGAATAACGCCTGGCTTTGTTTTCTTTTGTAATCTAAAGAGAGAGGAAAAAAAAAATCCATGTGCCTATATGCAAATTTCCAGTTGTGTGAACTTAATTGCAATCCTCCTTTTTCCCCATCTGGAGAGAAAATCACGTTATTCAGCACACTGAGCATATGTGTATGTGGAGGCCAGGGGCAAACCCTGATTAAAGATAACGAGGCTGTGATCTGCCTCACATCCCTGAGGACAGAAATCTAGGAGAGTACTATCTAAAATGCCTCAAAAGTAGACTTGTTATCTTTTCTCCAAATAATAATTAAAGATAACCCCAGCACTGGTGGGCCTGCTCCCACCTCCTATTAGAGTTCAGTCCTATATAGTCAATGTCCTGGAGCAATATAGCACAAGCCACAAAAACCCTGTCCAGAGCCACTGCAGCCTGTCTGGGATAGATAATAGCAGGAGAAAAGAAATGCTTGAGTCCTCAGCTTTGCTACAAATGTTACCAAAGGGCCTCTCAGGCTCTTCCCCAAGGACCCCTGGAGATAATACATCACCTCCATGGTTCCACAGCCTTCATCCTTCCTTCCCCAAAGCAGCCCCTCTCTGGTGACATGGAAAGGAGGGAGGTGTGATCAGGCACACAGAGAGGCAAGGCAAAACATAGGGGCCAAAGGGAAGGTTTTTTGTGTCTTCTGCCCCCTCCTTTCTTTCAATTAAGGGACAAGGCAGCCCTACAGCAGTCCTCTCCCTTTCACAGAACCTGACAGCCACCTCTGCTCACCTCCTCCCAGACAGGGGTCTCAGAGCCCTCCAGCAGCCCCACTGGCATTCCCTGCCCTCTCCAGCTGTGCAGAGCAAGGCTGCTCACTCAAAGCTCCAGAAGGAAAACTAGGGCGGAAATCGTGGAATTCCTCTCTAGTGACCAGCTGTGCCATGGGAGGTTTAGGCTATATACCAGGAAAAGGTTCTTCACCCAGAGGGTGGTTGGGCACTGGAACAGGCTCCCAAGGGAAGTGGTCACAGCACCAAGCCTGACAGAGTTCAAGACGCATTTGGACAACACTCTCAGGCACGTGGTGTGATTGTTGGGGCTGTCCTGTGTAGGGCTAGGAGTTGGACTCAGTGATCTTGCCCTTCCAACACAGGATATTCTATGATTCTATGAAATATCTGTCCTGCTCCCTTCACTGTGTCTTCCTCTTGGACAGAAAACATCTCCTTCTGACAGCATTAAATCATCTTGAAAATAAGGTGCTAACTGAAATGGAGCCTTGTCTCTGTCCCTTTGCAGTGAGGGGAGAGAGAAAAAAGAAGAACAAGTGCCACGAATGCCTGAGTGCTTTGGGATGAAAATACACGGTTCAAAAATCAGAGCAGTATTAAGCGTGACAAAAATAGCCCATCATTTGGATCCTATGATGATACTGGATGTGCATTTACCACTGTTTGAGTCAGAGAGATCTCATTTCTTTCTGAAAGCTGTTGCTCTCATGCTTGGCCATAAAGCCATATAAATAACATACGGTACAAACAGCGTCACTGAAACCTGCCAAAGTTTTGAAATACCTACAAGCTAACTACTAAAACCAAGCCACCTGTCCGGTGACTTCCACTGGAGTTGTTTCACTTCATCATCCCTATATTATGATGTTGATGGAACACCCTAAATCTATGTAGTCAGAGACATTCCATCTGCCCTGAAGAAATTACCCTCTAAAGAAGATGAGTGAACACAAGGCAAAACCACTCAAGAGGTAGCTTATCTAAGCCTCAGCAGTTGCTTGGAGAAGGAAGACTGAGGAAAATATTTCCAGAGCACCTTTTGCTCTGTGGGTAGCTGTATGAACATGGGAGAAGGATGGTGACATATATTACAGAGTCCTAGAATCATTAAGGTTGGAAAAGACCTCCAAGTTCATCGAGTTCAACCATATATATTGTGGTTGGAGAAACAGCTTGGGCCTGTCCTACACAAAAGAATTTCTGAGTGTTCTCTGAACAGCCTGGATACTTGTCAACCTTATTACATGACCAATTGCTGCTTAATTGAGGCTCCATTAACTTTTTTTTTCTGCAGGTTAGTAGTCTGCCTACTAATTTCCTGTTGTAATGGAGCCCTTCTTACTGCAGGGCCCAAAGATCCTTCCAGGCTGTGGTTCTCCAAGTGTTTTTTTTTTTGTAGAACTTCAGTTATTTCGGCTCATTCCTCCCAGTGTTCCTCCCTGGAAACTTGTCCCACTTTGTACAGGGCTTTAAGGAAGACCAGCTTTCACCGGGTTCTTCAGTCACATCAGCACTGGCAGAGGGTTTTTTGGGTGTTCCCTCGCACCCATGAATGGTGAGCTGCTAGCTGGTGAGCAAACAGACTCCTTTCAGAAAACAGAGAACAGGAGGAGGAAGGCAATCCCACCCAAAGGCTGGCAGGGATCCCGCTGGAATTCACAGCCAGAGAGCCCTGGACTCGCTCTTCCTGGTGCCCTTCTTGCTGCTCCTACCCCAGACCTGCAACAGAGCTGTTTATGCACCTCATGAAACTGCACCATAAAGCCTTCATTACATAAATATCAACAAGCAATATGAGATGGAGATAAGATGGCACAGCTAAAGCATTTGCTGTGGAATCAGGACTTCCACTGCTACATCAAGCTTTCTGACTGCCCTCAGGTAAGTTACCGACCTCACTCACTTTCAAAATTAGGATATTTGGAGAATTAAATAATCTTCAACAAACCATTTTAACATCTGTAGGGAGAAGGCTCTGAGGGAGTATGACTCCCACATTAGTTAAATTATAACAATCAGTTTATAATTTAAATTTATTATAATTTCCATTATATTTATATATGAGGATAGATATGCCATTATAATATTTATAGCTTTATTGTAATTCATATTACTATAATCAAATTTATCATGCTTATAATTTATTAAAAGACTGAGTTATATAACCCTCACATCTGTAAGATTTTGGCTAGAAATACAGAAATGTTTCTGGATAAGGCAGTGAGTATGTTGAAATCTGACTGACTAGAATACTATTGAACAAGCTGTGAGAAGCAACTGACAGCTGTACTGCCAAAGATGTGTTGTGGCTGATTTATTAATAATGTTCACTTCTTGTTCTTTTAGACAATCAAGAGACTCCTCAAAGTCTAGGAACTTGTTTTTTCACAGGACTGCTCTGGCTTGCTCTGAAAATTCAGATCTGCAATGCCCACATCTGCAAAAGAGTGCAGGTATATAGCACAAACATTACATGAGATTTAGACACTCACGCAGAAACTTTTCTGCAACAACCTCATTTGCTGTCACATCACACTGGAGTCACTAAAGCATCACAGGATGCCAGTGTTTAGGTATTTACATAGAATTTTCAGAGACTCATCAAATGGTTTGTGTTGGAAGGGACCTAAAGTTTGTCTAGTTCCAACCCACCTGCCATGGACAGAGACACCTTCCACTGGACCAGGCTGCTCAGAGCTCCATCCAGCCTGGCCTTGCACACCTCCAGGGATGAGGCATCCAGAGCTTCTCTGGGCAACCTAAGCCAGTGCTTCACCATCCTCACAGTGAAGAATTTTTTCCCACTATCTAATCTAAACCTACTATCTTTTAGTTTGAATCCATTCCCCCTTGTCCTGTCGCTACAGGCCCTTGTAAAAAAGGCCTCTCCATAGGGACTAGGTTTCTTCCCTCTCTTCTGCTTGGAAGGGCTTTATCTGTTAAGTGTTTGCACAGCACATTTGGCAGATCACCTCCTACACAAACTCTCAGAGTTGATTCAGTGCACAGATGAAGGTGTCGCTGCTGTTTTACCTTCAGTCCTTTGGTGAAGGGCACAAAACCAGAATGGAGCTGCCTGGGCTCATCCCCACAGGATTCATGTCCATGTCTCCTGTCTCTGAACATGGCACAACTTGCACAAGGTCAGACTTTATATTTGCCTTGGATTTGGAAGGGATGCAGGAGCACTCCATTCTCATTTCCTCTTGCTGAGCTTTCCCATTGTGTAGACCATAAAAATAAAGAACAATAATAACAATAATATGAATAAGGCTGGAGAGAAGGCAAGAGCAGACACTATCATTAGTGTCCCAATATGAGGGTGGGATGCTGTAAGTCTTCACAAGCAGAGAGGGAACCTGAATTTGAACATCTCAAAGCCCACAGGAACAGCCAACAATGAGGCTGTTACATAAAGCACTGATACCATTTCTGAAGAAAAGGATGACTCCCGTGTCTATTTTTCTAGTACAGCACTCTGCCCCTTCTTTTTTCCAGGGTTAAGGCTATAAATCTTATAATTGGTAGCACTAAACCATATAAAATATTGACAATATTTTTTCTCTTTTACTAGTTTTCTCGAGTTTACAGGAAGATCCTTCACGGCTTCTGCTGTGGAATAACTTCCAGCACTTCACACACACCATGTCTGATTTTTTATTTAGGACTGTGGACAAAGTTAGGCAATCATCCCCACAAAAATTAGCCTCTGGATTCTTGATTGTGAGTCCTAGGTGTCCTGCCCCTATTCCCCTCAAGAACTAAAAAGTAACAAAGAGGTACATACACCATCTGCTCCCAGCAGCTTCAGTCCAGCTTTCAGTGTTACCTCTTTGCATTCCAAACTGGGTGAGAAAACAGACACTTCTCTCTTCCTCAAGTATAGAAAGAGCTACCCTTGAGCTCAAGTTCAATAGGTCCTTTAAGGCTGCAGAAAACCCAGGCAACAGAAGGTGTGATGCAAATTGAACAGCAGTGCAAGAAATACCCAATGGTTTACCATGTGTGAATAAAGGCAACCAGCCAGGCTTGTCTTTGAAAGATGGGGAGAGCTTCATCCTGTGCTTGCTCTGCCTACATCTCGAGCCGTGACAGCGTGCTCATGCAGGAACCCTCCAGTTCTCCAAGCTCAGCACAGTGAGTAAGACGCATTTCACAATTAATGCGGAGCTGATGCAAGCGAAGTGATGTGACACAGAAACTTAGCACTGACATCCAAATTCAGCACAGGAATAGATAAAAGTGTGTAATTAGAAAAGACATCTGAAACTCATCTTTTTTTTCAGGTGAGGGTAAAGATGATTGTTTCTTTAGAGAAAACAGCATGAAATTAACAACAGAACAATTAATTTGTGTGCATTTCCGGAGGTGTCAGTATTGAAATTAAGAAAACAAGGCATTTGTTTTGGAACAAAATTTTTCAAGGTTGGTATTTTATTGCAGCCATGTTTTTGCATCATCTACACATTGAGTCTCCATCCCCTTATCAAGCACAGAAGTGTCACATTTGGTCTTTCCATTTCAGATACATGATGTCTATATAAAACCCATGCCTACAGCATTTAAATCAATAACGTGTCTTCCCCAGGGAACTTTTTTTTTCATCTTTCGAGTTCAAATCTAGGGCTTTCTAGTCCTGACTGAGGCTTGCTTCTAATCGGATAATGTCTGGGTGATGTGTTTTGCCAAATTTATTTGTAGCTGTCTGTTCAGTGCCTTGCAGAGACCTCCCCATCGCTTCCCTGGGACACTGAGTAGGGCCTGGGTGGGAAGCATATATTTTATTTAAAGAAAACAACACCAAAAATGAAGAAACATATGTAATATTTACCGTTTGAACAATATTTAGTGCGTTCATAAATATCAGCCAAATAAGCTTTAATGTAAGCCGCTAGAGATAATAATTATCAGAGGGAGGCAAGTTTGGCACTAACAGCTTGGCAGTAATATTCACCAAGAGATTTTATGGGGTTAAAACCCTACACACACTTACAGCAGACCATTTATCCGGTTTGCTTCTTCACAAATCCGCACCACCTACTAACTTAGATACAGGTCCTTCCATGTGGACTTAAGTGCTCAGTTCAAGCTAGTAGTAAGCTGAAAAGGCTGACCAAAGCAAGCAACCAAGAATGCTGAAATTAAAGCTCGGGGCTGTGTGTTGGTCACTCCTGGAAGTTACGCTACAACTAGAAGAGAATTATGAATCCCGTTTGGTTGAGGAAGAAAAGAATGATTTAATCTCCAAACCCCATCCAAATGTACTTCTGCGCTGATGCAGCCATGTGGCAAATGCACCATAAAGAATGCATTGTTGTTTTTCAGACAGGAAAGTTGCTGACAGAGGCGGGCGCTTACCAGGGCATCCAGACAGGCACAGCGCCGGCCGTGACTCTGCGCCCCTTGCAGCCTCTGCGAGACGGGAACGACCTGTGGGAAACCGCGCGATGCTTTTATTTCCAATGTACATTACGAGCGTTTTGCAACACCACGAACAGTTCCCGACGCATCAACCCCGGGTTTAAGCCGATGCTTTGAAAAATCGCACACAGGCACCCCACCAACCAAGGTTTCCCGACGCAGAAATGGGAGTTGCTCCTGTCTCTTGGCATCTCCCTGGAGTCTGCCGGGCGCGGCACTCCTGCCCATCTCCTCATGCACACACAGAGGGACCGGCGGGACCGCCCGAGCAGCGACAGCCGCTGTTCCCCGGGCCCCCCTAACGCGCGGGGTGCGGCCGCTGCCCACCCTGTCCCTGTCCGCCGCGGGACCACCCTCCCCCGCCCCGCCAGCCGGGACCGCGGTGAGACACCGCCACCTCCGACTGTCCCCGCCACCGGGGCGGTCCCGGCTCGCCGCCGGAGCCGCCGCCCGGGGGGAGCCGGCCCCCCGCCAGAGCCGCCGCCGCCCCGCTCGCAGCACACGCTCCTCACGCCTCGCCCTCACCCCCGCGGCCCCCGCGCGCCGCCGCACGGACCTCACGGGCCTCACGTCCCCCTGCAGCCGCCGCGCGCGCCGCGCCGGGCCCGCCCCGCATTGGCCGGAGCCCCGCCCGGGCCCGCCGCCCATTGGCTGGGGCGGGGGGCCCAGGGGCTCGGCCAATGGGAGCGCGGCGGGGGCGGGGCGCGGGCCGGGCCTGGCCGGGGGCAGCAGCGGGGTAAGCAGGCGCGCGGGCCAAGCAGGCGCGCGGGCAGCGGAGCGGAGCGGGGCGAAGCCGAGCTGGGAGCGGAGAGGCGGTGGCCGCGGGGCTGTGCCGGGCCGGGCCGCGGTATGGGAGGCGGCCGCGGTGGCGGAAGGGAGAGGGGGCGGAAGGGAGGAGGAGGAGGCGGTCGCGGAGCGGTATGGGGCAGCGGAGCGGTATGGGGCAGCGGAGCACCCGGTAGTGCCGGTGCCCGTGCCCCTGGCCCCGCGAGCTCCCCCGCTGCGATGCGGCGGAGCGGTGCGGGAAGAGATGCGGGTGATGGTGGCGGCGCTGCCGCGGCCAGGGCGCCCGTGCCCGGCGCGGGCCCTCGGGCCGGGGGTCGCTCCGCGGCGGGGGAACGTGTGCGGGGTCCGGCGGGCGATGGCGGCGGCGGGGCTGCGCCAGGGCAGGGGCTCCCGGTGCCGCGGCCTTCCCTCCCCGTGCCCTTGGCCGCCCCGGCGTGTCGGCCCGGGGTGAGAGCGGGGCCGCCGGGTCCCGCCTCCCGGCCCGCGGGCAGCGCTGCGCTCGGCGGCGCGGCGGGGACGGCGGCGCTGCTCGCTCGGGCAGGTGAGCGGCGAGCGCAGCCCGAAGGTACTCGGGGCAAAGGGTGGAATTCCACTCCGTAGGGAATGCACCTTGCAAGGACACGACAGGAGGAAGCGCAGAGCCTGGTGCTGTGCTGCTTTCCGGGCTGTTCCGGGTTAGGGCCGCGCTGTGCTCTGTCCCGCTCGCTGCCGGGGCCGATCCGCGCGTCTGATTGAAGAGGGATGTGAAATCAAGCTGTCGGCTGTTTTAAGCTTTGCTTAAACGTGGGATAAAGAAAACCTGTGAGACTTCTGGCTGTGGTTGGGTATGTGAGGAAATAATCTTACTTTTTACAGGCTTGTAGAGTCTTTGTATGAAGTCAACAGGAATTGATGGGATACTTAAGTTTTAAACAGACACTGGAGAAACTACCTATAAATAACTGAAAAAACCCCAAAAGTTTGACTTGTATAATGTTGTTTTCATGGTTGCGGACCATTCTGATTTCTGCAGGACTGTATCTTAAGTAATAAGACTATTTCTGATAGCCCAGCACGGTCACGTTCCACCAAGCAGGAATGTAATTGCGGAGCTTCTCTGTATTTCCCCGTGCAATGAAAATCCAATCTTTATGGTCAGTGTTATGAAAAATGAAGAAGTTAGAAAGCAACTTGCAATAAAAATGAAGCAGATTTTTTAATTATTTGGGGTTTAGACAAAGAAAAATGTGAAAGCTTTTCTTTCAATAACTCAGTGCTGTTTTCCTAAAAAGAATTAACCTAGCGGTTTCTGACCTTTTTTTTTCCGAGTTGCTTGTCTTTAAGTGGGGTGTATTCACCGAGCATATGCAAAATAATTCTTAGCACTCAGTACAGAAGGATAGTGGCCAAAGTCAATTGTTGCTCAGTAAAAGACTTCAGGAGGGATTAAGAAATTCTTCTGTGTTACAGGCTGAATGCAGATTGATGTTTAACAGAATATTGGTGGATTTGTGTTTCTCTGCCATGCAGTCAGAACTTTCATATGTTATCAGAAGGAGTTTAGCTGCAGTTTAGGTGAACTGCAGCCAGAGCCAGCAAGAACCTGTTTACTCTTAGACCAGGTGACTTATTTTTGTATTTTTTAAGTGTTTTTTCATTGCTCTTAGTTAGCAATGACCTTGGTCACCTTGAATAAGATATGCTTAGAATAAACAGTATTATGTTGTCTAGATGAGGAAAAAAATGACCTGCTGTGCTTTGACAGTGTCTCCCTTTTAATAATCATGTGATCAGTAGAAGAAAAGACCAGATGTGGAGAATTCCTTCACACATTTACCATCTGAGTGTTGATCACCTTGTTTCACTGCTGCCGAGGAGAATTCTATACTGTGCAATGCTGCTCTGGTTAATTCATTTGTGATAGTTAACACAAGTTAATAATAGCTCATTGCATCCATGCAGCAAGAACAGAACTTCTTTTGGCTTCTGGTCTTCCAGTAGTCCTTTTACAGGCAAGTGGTGGTCTGTTGTTTCACACCCTGTTTGTCAGCCTCTATTATTTTTCTGGAAACTGAGAAAGAGAAGAGACAGCAGCTGAATTCCAGCTTCTTAATTTTTAATGTTAAACTGGTTGATTACTTGCAGAGGTTTTTGTAGGTAAGGATTGGTTTGGTTTTCCTCCCTGTGTGTTTTTTCTTTATTTTTTTTAACAAGGATGTTAGGGATTGCCTGTTTCTCATGGTCTTTTATCTTGTGTGTCAGTGTGTGTGGTATAAATTGATTGATCTGTGTGGTCTTACCAAATTTATCTCAGGACTTGGCTTGATGCACAAACAAGTATTTCTCTTTTACCTTTAGTTTCTCTATACTAACGGGGATGAACAGTTCAGCTTATGATGGTGGTAGTGATCCTGAAGCAGTATTTAGAAACCATATCTCCTGTATGTATGTATGTAGATCTGGTTCTGTCACTCTACAACTGCTAAAGAAAGAATTTTGGAAGAAGAGGCTTCTTAGCTCATGGAACTGTATATTCTGGAACAGAGCATCTCAAGGAGAAGAGTATCTTCTCTTTAGGTTTGTTTTATAAAAGTGCTTCAAGTGCTGCCTTAGCTCCAAGTGCCTGCTTTCCTTTAGGACCTGAAGAAGAAAATAAGTTATTTGCGTATGGAGCTAAAATGCAAACTGATTGTCAAGCACAAAATTTTGAGTGCGTGGGTTCAATCACTGTCTACTTTCCCACTCAGCAGTGAAAGTTCATTTTATAGGCATGTGTGTATCTATATAGAAAATTTTTTGTCTTTAGCTTTTCAATTTTTTAGATGCCACTTATTTTGCTCCCCTCCCTTATCCCTCCCTCCTTACAGAAGATGGCAAAATTAAACCAGTCTAAGTTGGTGACAAAGACCAAGAAATAATAGGATGCGTAAGTTTTACCCTTTCTTTGCACAGTTGTGATTCTGCACTTTATTTTAATGGCTTTTGTGTTTTGTCAGTCGTGGAGGTATAGAGCTAAATGAAGCTATTCAGTATCTGAAATGTTCTATGTGCTTCATGCAGCATAGAAAAATGATCTCACTTGCTCTGAAAAACTTAGCTGTCAGTGTGTGGAGCTGCCTTTTAGAAACTTACCAATTCATATGTCTGCTTAAACAAGTCTGCATGCATATACAGAGTTAAAAAATAGATTTTTTTTTTCAGGAAATTGCATAAGACTATGTCTTTTTCTTAAAGCCTGTGAAGATTCTGTATGTAGAGACACCGGGAAAGGTGATCTGCTTGTGGTCTGTATGGTCTTAGAGCTGTTTTTGTGTTGTGGAAGCAATAACTTCCATTTACAGAGTTCTCTTACTGTGTTTGTTTTGCCTCTGCACTTAGTCCTGGTTTTCTGTGTAGATCTTTGTGGCCTGTTTAATTGTGGTTCATGCCTCCTTTTTAACCAGTTGCATGTCTTGTTTTTTTCTGGATGTGCTGAACAAATGTGCTGTAAAAGGGCGTGAGGTAGCATTCTGAAATGTCACAGCTCTCCCGTTGTCTGAATTGTGCCACTTGAGAGTATTAAATGCTCTTCATGGTCAAAGTGCTCATCAAGAGAGTAGTCAGGACTAGGGAAGAGATGGAAGGGAGAAGGACTGGGCAGTAAGCTGCAAGTGGATTGAGTGTTTCCTTTGGAGAACTCTTCTGAAATTGGTAAGCCTACAATTTTACATTGCATAGCAAAGCTCTGTGGAGCATGGCCATTGAGAATTCAGTCTGGGAATTTGGGGATTTTCAAAAGCACTTATGTAAGTTGCAATAAGCTTTGGCTTTTCCAGTTTGGAAAGGCAGTAAGTTTATGTTATGTAGAATGTGATTTCAAATGCTCTCCGTAGAGAGCATCAATAGTTGCAGATTACAAATTCGGTATCAGGTATGAGATCCTGTAGGTTGGGTTTAGTTCTAAGTTATAAGAAATAGAGAGCTCATTGCTCTTACTTCCCCTAGTGTCAAAAGTACCTATGTGTGGTAGGTAGGAGCTGACAGAAATAACTTGTGTGTGACAGAGCTGTAATGCAGGAGCTGTAGATTCTGATAGACCATGTTGCCCTTCAGCACAGAGATCAATTTATGTCTTCTTGAAATAGTCTTTTTTTGTCTGTGGTCCTCTTCTTGCATCCTATTTTTCTGCTTCTTACAGGGGCGTTTTGGCACAGCCAAGAAAAAAGAAAGCTCCCACAGCTAGGGTGCTGGTATGTTCGGGGGCTATGAATAGACTAGGATGTGTTGTAAGTTGCTAAATTGGAACTTAACCCTGGCTTCCAGGGCAAGATTGGAAGCCATGGATCTATACAGACATGAACGCCTGCAGGATCAGGAGTGGGAGGCTGTGGTGTTTGACCTGCTACCCGTGGTGGTGATAGAAAGGGTCACGCTCACTGTGTGAGCAGAGGGGGTGTGTTTGCCATCCAGAGACCTGCAAGGGTACCACTTACTGA